TTTATCTTCTTTATCTTCGTCATCCGACATCTTGGGCCCACTGAGTTCAGATTTCAATGCTTCTTACTCTGTGATGAAAAAAATTCATACAATTCACTTGGATTAGGAAGAGAATCCCTCCTAATGCTCACAAGGGTTTCCACATGGAGACCCTAACAAAGACCATTCTACTCGGGTTCAGTGTTTACTCCAACTGCTGGCTCGATTCAGGGCTCCACTGGGACCCTCAGAAGTAAGGAGAGGATGAAGCCTCCTGCCTGCTGGGTGGACCCTTTAGAATGGGTACAAGTGTTTGTCCTTTGTTCTCAAAGAGGACCAATGACATCAGGAGGATGATGACCATCTATTACAAAGACTTAATCTGTACAAACCAATATAGATGGGTTGTGATGTGCCCCTTCCAAGAAATACTGGAGATGATGGATTCTCAGCAGGTATCAACTCCAAAAGGGGCAGTCAGTGTCTTTAAGAATCAGTTTTCTTTTAAAAAGTTGAGGGGTGAGGAGGAGGGGAGGAAGAAGAGAACCCATTTTCCCAAAAATACCAGTGAAATCAATACTAGGAGACTCTTTAGTTCAACCTGCTCAATTTACAGATGAGGAAACTGAGGCTCAGAGATGTTGTAAGTGACAGAGGCACTGCAATGCTTTCCCCCTTTCCTTTCTTAGAAAGACTGCTTCACTGAGTAAAGGAAGGCTGTTTGTGAAGAAATCATTTTTAAAACAATAAGATGTTTTGTTTTATTTCTGTACTACAAGGTTCATGTGCTCAAATGTCTGAGCTAAAAAGGCTCCAGGAGCCCGCCCACTCCCACCCCCAACCCGACTCCAAGGCTGACCCTGCAAGTAGTTCCCCTGCAGGCTTGGGGCAGTTTCTCTGCCTCCTCCTTCCTTCTGAGTGACATGAAAAGTTCGGGATGGCTAGGGCTCTGGGACAGCAATAGCACCAGGTGAGGTCGGAACACACAGGCGCCCTGCCGCCCAGAGGGATGGAGAAGAAAGCCAGGCAGGGCTGGGAGGGCTGGGCAGAGCAGCCTTGGCAGGTGGGGGACAGGACGGCAAGGTACCTGGGTGCTGGCTCGCTCGCTCTCGCTCTCGCTCTCTCTCTCTCTCTCTCTGCAGAACCCGGGGGCGCTGGCTCCTGGCCGAAATCTTCTGGGGCTTGGAGGACTCGGAACAAGTGGGATGCACTGACGGCCGTAGGCCTTCGACCTGCTCCAGCTCCTGGGCTCAAGGGTGGAAGGGGGTGGGGGAGCAACACACTGGTTACCTTGGAGACGGCTGGGGGCGGAGCCTCAGGCTCCGGGAGTCGAGACTGGGGACCTGGCATTGGGCAGCGGAGGCGGCGGGCGCTTAGCAGCCCGGAAACGCTTAGGCAACGAATGGTCTTCAGCCGGCAGCGCTCCCCAAGTGGGACCAGAACCTCCCCTTGGCTGGGGTCTGGCTCCCCCAACTCTGAACGCGTTTTCAGGCTTTCAGGCTCGGCAGGCTTGAGGCACAAGGCTATTATGCAGCTAGCCCCTGCTCAGTCTAGGTCCTGGGCTAGGCCTCGGTGTTTCTGGGCAGCTGTTGGGGACGCTCAACCCCACTTTCAGGGACATGGAAGCTGAGCAGGAATGACAGCCGGCCTCTTCTAGGTTTGGTTTTCCTGCTGCTAGGAGCAAACCAAGCGTGTTAAAGTCCGTGTAGTCTACAGAACACAAAAGTACTTCACATTTCAGAGATCAGAAGTTCCTTTTCTTTTTTCTTTTGTAAAGTATCAATATAGCTTCAGTACTGTGACCTCAGTACTCTGGGCAGTATAGAGTACTCCATTAATCAAGAAGCATTTATTAAGCCCCTACTATATGCAAGTCAGTGGGATAGGTTCACAAAAATAAAACTACTGCTTCCAATGTGTTCATATCGTCAGAAAAGGCCACCTGTAATCAGCAATCCGATTTCGAACCCCTCCTCATTCAGTTGTGATTGTATTCTCCAAAGTTACCGACTACTTAACGCCACATTTTACGTTTTTTTCTTCTCAATCTGTAGCCTTTCTGACTTGACCACAGTATTTGACACTGAATCCCTTCTCCTCGATATTTTCTGCTCTGACTTTCCATGACTTTTGCCAAATCTTCCTCTAAGTCATACCCATAAACTCCAGGTGACCCCCAAGGATCTGTCCTGGGTCTTCTTTCTGCTCTAAACTGTCTCATCTGGTCATGTCATCAGCTCCCGGGAGTTCAATGATCTCTACACAGACGAGTCCAAAATCTCCACGTATCCAACCTATCATTGTCCTGGGCCGCAGGCCTGCACCCACTGGACATTTCAAACGGAATGCATCAACAAGACTAGTGCACAATCAGCTCTGAAGCACAGGCTGTAAATGTGGAATCAGACCAGAGCCACAGACTAGCCATAAAGAGTCCTGGAGGAAACTGGAGCCCCAATCCTCTCCAAGTACTGACCAGATTGGAATCACACAGTTTTAAAGAGCTTTGCACATGGAGAGGGAATAAAAAAAGGCTGGGGGTTTTTCCCCTCAAGGCCAGACTTTTTGGGAAAGAAAACCCAAAATTGTTAGTCCTACCCCCCCCTTCAAAACAAAACACTAACAAAATCAAAACAAAAACTTTGTATTTACTTTGCATATACTTACATGTATAACACCATCCCACCCCAACCCCCACTCAACAAACTTTTCAGTCACGTCAGACTCTTCATGACCCTATTTGGTGTTTTCTTGGCAAAGATATGGAGAGGTCTGCCATTTCCTTCTCCAGCTGATTTTACAGATGAAGAAACTGAGGCAAATGGTGACGTGACTTGCCAGGGTCACACAGCTAGCAAGCATCTGAAGCCAGATTTGAACTCATGAAGATGAGTCTTCCTGACTCCAGGTCCAGCTCCATCCACATCCCCACCTAGCTGCCCAATGAACTCCTGGCTGCTCCCTATTGCTTCCAAGAGCCCACTCCTCCCTTCAGTATTCTGACCCCTTACTGCCCAACACATACTCTGCCCTCCCGGCTGTTCCACAAACAAGATGCTCCATCTCTCAGCTCCAGGCCATGTCCCGAGCCTGAAACATTCTCCCTCCTTAGCTCAGAATACTGACCTCTCTCTTCCTTTAAGGCCCAACTTAATCCCACCTTCTAAAATCAGCCTTCCCCAATTCCCTTTAATTTCAGGGCTTTCCCTCTATTATTTCCTATCTGTCATGTACACGGCTCGTTTTGCATGTATGTTTGCATGTCGTCACCCCTTCCCACTTTAGACTGTAAGCTCCTTGAGGGCAGACTGAGAAAATGAGAAAGGAGAGGGAGGTCAGTTCACCATTTCTTTTCCTCAAGTTTATTAAATCTTTATTACAAATTGTACTTTAGCTTTCATTGACAAGTATTTCAATACGGAGACAAGAGCATAAGAAATCGGGTTCTGTAAGATTTCATTACAGCCTCATAGAACTGCAAAACCGGTAGTGACTTTGGAGGTGACCTAGTCCAAAACTCGTTTCACTGATGAACAACTGAAGGCATATGGTAGTGACGCAGCACTTGGTCACACATCCAGTCACCCTCAGAATTGTGGCCAGAATCCAGTTCTCTAGACTTTTTGCAGCCACACCTTATCTCTGGTCTTCCAAAGGAAAATCAGGAGGGCCACCGAGCCACACCCCTTCCTCCAATTCAGAAGGCTCTTTCAGGCCCTACCTTGATTGCATTGAAGCCAAGGCCCACTGCCTACAGGTGCAAACACTTTTGAGCAGGGGTGGTCGCCCAGAGTCTAGAATTTCAGGAAACTCCTGCCCAACAGCAACTCCCAAGACAAGTCTGGGCTCCGGGTGAACCTGTTTCCCCAACTGTAGAATAGGGATAATAATCCCACCTCTTGGAATAGCAACACCTAACTAAAGGGGAAAATTCCAGGCTAACTAGCCACTGCCACAATACACTTTTGTGCTGCAAACTTCACATTAACCCCCTGGGCATGCGGGACCCCAAACAACCAAGCACCTGGGGGACTGTAGATAGGTGCCTAAGATCCTAAGACTGACAGCTAAGAAAGGGAGAGGGTTCTTCACTGGGCGTGGGGGATGACTCCTGGTAGGGAGCTCTTCCAGCCACTGAAGGGGGCTCAGGCAGCCTCCTCCGGGAGCATTTTTACCTGACCTGTGACCTACATGGGTACAGGAGGTGGGAGGAAGCAAAGTGCCTCTGCCAAAGCAGCCGGAAGCAGCACTTAGACCTCGGATCAGTTCTCCATTCTCAGAGATGCGAAGTCATTTGGGAGCCCGGATAATGCTGAGGGTCCCTGCACGGTCTGATACCCACCTCTAAGCCAGGGGAGGACGGATGATCCTTCCCCATTTTACAGATAGAGTGCCGTGGGGAGGGAGGGGGTCCCGCACGTGCCAGGGCCGGGCTCTGCTCCCCAGGGGTCGGGTCTGAGGTCACGGGCATTTGGGGGTCTTGAAAAACACCCACGGATCACTTTCAAGCCGTGTCAACGTGATGTCCCATTTTCCAAGCGAAATCGAAGCGCCTCGCCTATGCCCCGTCGAGTGGCCAGGGCGTGACCGGAGGGGTGGCTCTGGAGCCGTAGGCCGGGTCTGCACCCACCGACTAAAACTGGGCGAGGACGCCAAGGTCGTTTGAGAGTCTGGAGAGCCAGACGCCCCACTCTACAGGCGAAAAGGCAGCCGCTGCCGCCGCAGGCTCCCAGCGCGGCGTGGGGGGATGCCCCGCCCCCTGCCGGCAGGGCCCGCCCCCTACGTCACCGCGCCCGGCTCCTGCTCAGCCGGCCCCCGGCCCCCGATCCGCACTTTCGACACGCACCCGACGCGGCGGCCCCTAGCCGGGCGCCCACCCCCGAACCCCCAGCCGCCGGCGCCCCGCTGCCGCTCGCGCCGCTCCCGAGGAGCGGGACCCCGCGTGCCGCCGCGCGCCCCGCCGGCGCCGGACGGCCCGCACCGCCGAAAGTGCGGACGCGGTTGCGGGGCTGGTCGGCGCCCGCGCGGCCCGGAAGCGGCGGCGGCGGTTGCATGGGCCGCATCGGCTCGTGCGGGCGCGGGTCCATGTGGAGGCTGCGGGCCGGGAGCAGCGCGCTGCGCGGCGGGGCCTGGGCGCGGATCTCGCAGCGGGCCGGGGCTGAGGCCGAGGCCGCGGCCGCGGCCGGCATGGAGCGCGCTGTGGTGCGCTGCGTGCCCTCGGAGCCCAAACTGAGCCTGTCGTTCGCGCTGGCCGACGGCAGCCACAAGCACATGCAGCGCGACCAGAGCGAGCCGCTGGGCCGGGCGCTCAGCCGCATCGCCACCAACGCGCTCAAGGGCCACGCCAAGGCGGCGGCGCGCAAGGGCCGCCGGGCCGCCGAGCCCGGAGCCGGCGCGGGGGCCGGAGCCGGAGCCGGCACCGCGGGCCCGGCCGAGCCGCTGGTCAAGCTCTACTACCGCGAGGAGGCCGTGGGCGACGACGTGCTCAACGTGGACGCGTGGCAGGACGGCGCCGTGCTGCAGATCGGCGACGTCAAGTACAAGGTGGAGCGCAACCCGCCCGCCGTCACCGAGCTGCAGCTGCCGCGCTACGTCATGGCCGGTTTCCCCGTGTGCCCCAAGCTTGGCCTCGAGTTCGGCGAGCCCGAGCGCTCGCTCTTCCGCTGGTTCCGCGAGGCGCGGCCCGGAGCAGCGGCCGGGGCCCCGTCCGCAGCGCCCCCCGTCGGCCGCGGGGGACTCGCCGGAAGCGGAGGCCGGCGCGGGGCCCGCGTGGGTGGAGGTGGGCGGCGCGCACGAGCGCGTCTTCACGCCCTCCAACGCTGACATCGGGCTGCGGCTGAAGCTGCGCTGCACGCCGGGCAACGGGCAGCGGCTGGGCCCGAGCCGCGAGCTGGAGAGCGCGGGGCCCGTGGAGGCCGGGCCCGGCGCGTGCACGTTCGACCAGCGCCACCTGTACACGAAGCGCGTGAGCGGCGACGGGCTCGTGCGCGCCGTGACGTACAACGTGCTGGCCGACGTGTACGCGCACACGGAGCACTCGCGCGCCGTGCTCTACCCGTACTGCGCGCCCTACGCGCTGGGCCTCGACTACCGCCTCAACCTGCTGCAGAAGGAGCTGAGCGGCTACAGCGCCGACGTGCTGTGCCTGCAGGAGGTGGACCGCGCGGTGTTCCACGACAGCCTGGCGCCCGCGCTCGACGCCTTCGGCCTGCACGGCCTCTTCCGCCTCAAGCAGCACCAGCACGAGGGCCTCGCCACCTTCTTCCGCAGGGACAAGTTCCGCCTGCTGGCGCAGCACGACATCGCCTACCAGCAGGCGCTGGCCGGGGACCCGCTGCACGGCGCGCTGCTCGAGCAGCTGGGGCGCTACCCGCAGGCGCGGGACCGCGTGCTGCAGAGGTCCTCGGCGCTGCAGGTGAGCCCGCACCCGAGGGCGGGCGGGTGCACAGCACAGCCGCCGGGCCTGAGGCTGTGACTCCGTGGATTTTCCTACCGGTCCCTTCCCTTGAAATCTTAAGAGAGCCCAGGGCTGTGCCTAGCGTGTCCGAGGGCTGTTGCCTCCCCCTGCCCCTCAGAAGGTGGCGGATCTCTTCTAACGTGCGCTTGGCACAGGGGGTACGGAAACAAGAAGGCGACGTGCCGGGCCGTTGAGGGCCTTGCAGTATGGGGTGGGGGGGGGCAGGGGCACGGGCACCTCGCACCCCGTCGCTCGGTTCAGCTGGACGGCTTCGTTGTCTTCCTGGAAGGGCAGGGACTGTTTGGTTCTTGTTTCTCTAGCTCCGTATCCTGGCTCAGTGCCTGGCAGGCGCCAAGTGCTAGTTGAATGAAGAAGAGGCGCATACTGGGTTTTGTGATGCTGGGAGAGTGCCTTGGGCAGCACCGCAGGGGTGAAGGAGTAGCCAGGTTGTGTTTGGCCCCGGGGCTGCTGCCCTCTGCCAGGCAAATCACGGCTGCCTCCTCTTCCCCCCCCCCCCCAAAAAAAAGGCGTGCTGGTTCTTAGCCAGTTTTATTTAGACCCGTAAGACGCAAGGTGGTCAAGGTTAGATGAGGACTGTAGTATCCCTTGATGGCAGGGATTGCTTTGTCTTGGTGTCCCCCAGCAGATGTTGCCTGCAGGTGCTTAAGAACTACAGATTGTTGGGAGAAAAACTGAAGTGAAGAAAGGAAGGGGGGGTCCCAGGGGGTCGGGATGGGATCAGTCTAGCCTCCTGGTGTAGTAGCTAGAGCTGGACTGGTCAGGAGGATGGTCAGACAGCTGTATGGTGCTAGGTAAGTCCCTGAGTCTGCGCTGTAAAATGTGGACCACGGTCCCAGCAGTACCTGCCACACAACGGTTAGGAGGCTCAAACCAGGTCATATTTTCAAAGAACTTTTTGCAAGTGTTACTGTTACTTTTATTAGAGCCAAGCGTCTGGGGCCTTGGGAAGTGAGTGGCATGCCTCCGTATCTAGAGCCAAAGGATTTGTAGGGTCAGAGATGACTGGAGTCCTAGCTCAAAGCCTTCCTGCCTGGATTAGCTTGTAAATTGTCTGAACTTTCACTTTATTTTCCTCCTCCGTAAAATGAAGAGGCTGGAGTAGATGTTCCTTCCAAATGTAAATGTGTGATCCTCGGACCCTCGGATTTGGAGCTTCGTTTAATGAAATTGCTATAGGTGAATCGTCAGGGAAGTTGTATTTAAATCTCACCTAGTTCTCTGTGCTCATGGCAAGTCACTTCTCTGGGCTCACGCTTCCTCTTGTGTAAAAGGATGGGATTGAGTTAGATGACCTGAATTTTTAGGGATCTGATCTTGCCCTCCTCCCTGTCCTGCTATTAAGTAAGTTCATTCTCTTAAGGGGTAGAAGTGATTGCTAATCCAGAGATTTATGAATTTTACTGTTCATTCTTGGGCAAACATTATAATTTCCCTCTTAGTGAAATGTGGTGTACACGTATCTCAAACCCAGCTCAAGTTATTTAAGATTTTGCTATAGATCTGTTACTTTGTTGGTGTGCTTGAACTCCAAGTTTGCAAACTACCTCTGACACTAAAAGATGAGCAGTTCTGCAGCTCAGAGTTTTGGAGAGCTGCTCAAGGAACTTAGGCCCCACTGCCAGTACCTGTCAGAGGATAATCTCGAACCCAGGACTTCTGGGCTCTGTGGCTGGCTTTCTGCTGCCATGGTTAAATACATCATTTCTAATTCAGGGTTTGGTGGGTCAGCATGAAAATGATGTCAGATTTCAGTCCCTTCCATATTCCAGGACCAGACTCTGGAGTTACGAACAACTGTAAGACACTTTATAAGGTAGTGTCACTTTATGTTCTAGGTTTCAGTTCTTCAGTCTACAAAGGACTCTTCTAAAAAGATTTGTGTTGCAAACACTCATCTCTACTGGCATCCAAGAGGTAAGCATTTGGATGGGTGCAGGGTGGGGGGGTGTGTGTGTGTGAGTGAGAGAGAGAGAGAGGGACAGACACACAGGGACAGATGAGAGAGAGAATGCCTCACATCCTTGCATTAGTTAATAAGGGTTAGGCTTGCTAGTATTCAAGTACTTTTTTTAGACCGTGTCCCTAACGGTTTAGTCATTTGTGTTCCGCAGTCATATGTCTCATCTTTCATTTCCACAGGTGGGCACATTCGTCTCATTCAGATGGCGGTTGCCTTGACTCACCTGAAACACGTGACCCACGATCTGTACCCTGGCATCCCCGTCTTGTTTTGCGGGGATTTCAATAGCACGCCCTCCACAGGCATGTACAGTTTTGTCAGCACAGGCAGCATCTCTGAGGACCATGAAGACTGGACCTCCAATGGGGAAGAGGAGCGCTGCAACATGTCTCTCACCCATCCCTTCAGACTGAAAAGTGCATGTGGGGAACCTGCCTACACTAATTACGTGGGAGGGTTCCACGGATGTCTAGATTATATTTTCATTGACTTCACTGCCTTAGAGGTTGAACAGGTGATACCGATGCCAAGTCACGAAGAAGTCACCACCCATCAGGCCTTACCCAGCGTCTCACACCCCTCTGATCATATAGCCCTTATTTGTGATTTAAAGTGGAAATAGACTGGACCTCAGCGTGGCAGACAGTTGTTGAGTCAAAAAAAGGTGTTCAGTTACTTAGGATCTAACTTGAATCAAGGCCTACGTTGTAACCTTGACAAGAGGGGAACAGACTGATTATGGGAAAATGTTCACACTCTTACCACTGGCTCTGTTCTAACCTCGTTCTTCATTGTATGTGACATCTGCATGATTCCTTCTTCTCTCTTCTCAACAGAGGGGGAAGAAAGCAAATATATTTAAAACTGGCACAAAAATTGGATGATCATATATCTTTTTAATAAGTGATTTTTAAACAGTGATCAAGAGGTTATTTTGTCTTTTTAAGAAACCTGAGTGATTCTAACAGGTTTTGTAAAATAGTGTACCTTTTGAACGATAACCATGTTTTTTATAATTAAGGGAGATAAGTTGTAACCAGGTACAAAGTGAGAGTGGCTAGAGGAGGAAAGGAAGGAATGCTATCAGGTCTCACCCTATCTTCCTCTGGATGACCCACTTTAAAAAAGAAGAGCTTTGAGAATCCTTAAGTGTATTGTGACCTATGGCCATCCCTTCTTTCCATCTCACCTCTCCAGTTCTGAAGCCGAAACGCAGGATCTGATAGGGCTTTGGTTTCTGATAACCAGCTGCTACAGGAGCTGTATTCCTGAAACCATTCTTAGTGTGACCAAACAAGTTAGCACCAGTAAGAAGACATTCCTCATTAAACCTGTGAGCTAGTAGACTGGAGTCAGCAGTCATTGGCAGGCAGCAACTGCGCTCTCTCAACCATAAATTCTTTGTGAAGTTTAATGTTATCTGGAATTTGGCTCTGCAGGCCAGTGTTAAGGCAGGTCGGATGGAAGTCAGAAATCTTAATGCCCTGCTGAGGTGGACTGAAGTTTTTAGATAATTTATTTAAGTTTGATGTTGGAAGTGTAGCCGGTGGGTTTTTCTTAATAATGTCTACAAATCAGAATAGCACTACTAAGAATGTGTGGGACAAGTTAATAAAACTAAACAAGCCTATGGATTGTAGGAACATCCCAGATAGAGAAGTCACCCCTTGCAAAATCTTAGCCATGAAGCCCAAGTGCCCTGCTTTTTCATTTGAGACAGATTTATTTAAGTTTGAGGCTGGCTAGCTCCTGTTTGCTGTTGGTTATGTTTATCATGAGGCTGCGGCCAGACTTCACCAACAAGATGTCTTCACCTGCAGGATCGCTCTCGCCTGGTGGAGGTGGTCTGCACGGCACAATGAGGCTTTGTGGTAGCAGCTTCCTGCTTGGGTTTCATTTTAGCTGTTGAAGGTACTGATTCCCCAGTGCTAGAGGATCTCCAGTGTTTTCTATCTGAGGGGGAAGTAATAGCTTGAACTATTGGTTCTACTTTTGCCATTGAGCCTGGAACCTTAACTAGGACTTAACTCTTTTATTGGTGTTTTGTTCCTTCATCTTCTGCCTGCTGAAAGTGCTCATGATTTGGGGTCATAAGCTCCCAGGAGATCATTGGAGGTAGGTCCCTACCTCCAAACTCCTCCTTCCCTAAGGACTTCCTAGAGGCCCATCCTGTTGTAACTTAGATCAAAATCACCATAACCAAACCAAGAGCCGGTGTGGCAATATGGCATGTTAGAAGGAGGAATCTGGAGCCAAAGGACCTGAGTCCAAATCCTACCAGGATTTCCTCAGGCAAGTCAGGTAGCTAAGTTTCATTTCCCTCATCTATAAAATGAGGGTGTTGGACTAGATCCTAACTATTGTGGGTGGAAGGAGAGATTTAGGTTTCTGTATTTTTGTCTCCTAAATAAAAAGGAATGCAGGAAGAGGCTTAAGATGGTATTTTCCTGTAGTTCTAGCCTATACCACTGTAAATGTAAATTCAGTGTCTCTGAGCTGTTTGCTTCCAGAAGCATGGAGAATGGAAACGTCCTGCTGAGAGGTGACCTGAAATCTCTCGGGCGTTTTTCACATTCAAAAGTGTACATGGGTTTATATATAGGCAGATGGGATTCTCATCCTAAACAGCCTGGCAAACTTAACTTCGGGTCCAACAACTCCAGCCTAGGCAGATCTGATGGCAGCTTGTCTACTGAGGCTTTCCAGGTAAAACTCTCCAAGTTTGTGCTCTTCTTCTGATCCAGACATGCATTCTGTCTTCAGCCTGTTTTTTCCTGATGGTTTTATCTCATTTTCTCCAGAATCTTCCTACAAGAAAATGCATTAATACATTGTGCTACAGGCAAGGGACACAGGAAGATAACACAAGATATCTTAACTAACACCCAGTTTTGTAGCCATACAAAAGTTAAGTCAGCTACCATTCAACCTGGTATGTGCAGGAGTTTGCATATGGAGATAACGAAGGCTCTTTGTAGTGAGTAGGAAGACTGTCACTGGCATTTCTAGGTGTGCTGAAATTCTGTCTTGCCATTAATGAGTCATAATACCTTATTATTTAAAAGGGGTCATTAATAATTTTGTTAAGTTTTAAATGTGTTTTATGCCTTATTCTCACTAAATTTGATTTTATAGTATGTTTTAAATTTGAGTAGAAGAAAGTCAAGCAATTCTTTCCAGGATAAACCAGGTTTTATAATATCAGAAATTATCACCAAATAGATTAACCAACTAAATTTTAAAAAATAACTGTGGGTTGAATTCAAGTGGTTGAAAATGGCACAAGATGGATTCTGTTCCCAAGCCACTACAAGAAAACCAATGAGCTTGGTGACTTTGAGGGAGTTTCAATGAATTTATAATTTAGTAGAAAGCACAGAAACACTTGGTGAGACTTTTTTAAAATGTCCGAATTCCTTTCTGGTGATCTTCTGATTTATAAATGGGCTTTCAGAAAACAACACTAAAATCAGGTCTGGTCTGAGCCAGGGGTACTCAGTTAGCTTGCTCTAGGCCTTTGAATTCACCAGTTTCAGACATTCTGATTTACCACCAAGCTGTACTACCTATGTTTTGTCGTCCATAAAGCATGCTTGGACTAGGTATTCATATCTGTTGTTTTCTGATTTTAATTTTTTCTATTGGTTGTAAAGAATAAATAGTGAGGGATCGTTTCCTACTCTGCTTTCTCTCTAGGTGTGGCCCTGCTCAAATTAATTCTTTATAAACTTCATATCCATCAAGATCTTTTTGCTTCTTTTTGTATCCCCAGCATGTAGCACAGTGCCTGGTGGCACAGAGTAGGCACTTAACAAATGTTGATTGACTTCATGTCCATATTCATTGAGAACAGACTTGATTTGGAGGCACTGCAGGGGCTTCCCTCCTGAGGGACAAGGCTAGGCGTGTACTTCAACCATTCCAATTGGCGTATGATTCCAAGCAGTGGAGAAGATAGAGCTCTCCTTACTGTGAAAACTAGCCTAGCCTGCCTGGCACAATGTCGGGATAAACCAGAGATGCCCGTGGGCCAAGGGGTAAGAAAGGATGCAGCAGTAAGATACGTTCAAAGAGCTATGCAGAAGAGAAAGTAACCAGAACTACTTTACCAAATAGTCTGATTTTTTGTTTTTATCTTTCCCCCATTGTAACATTTTTATAGAGCATGATAGATTGCAATCCGTCAGCAAGTTTTAGTTTCTTGGTGGAGGTCAGGGTCCATCAGAATTACTAACATCTGTAGAGTGGGCAGGGTGGCGGGGTAGCCTTGGACTTAAGATCAGACCTTGCCTCTGACCAAGTCACTCTCTCTTAACCTTAACTGGTCATCTGTGAAATGAGGGCTAGAGTAGCTACAGACCCAGTCAGTGGGGTCGTTGGGCCCGAATGAGAAAACAGAAAGCACTTCGCACATTTTATTAGACAAATGTCAGCTGCTATTCACAAGATAGAATCTTAAACACAGCTGATGTTTAGGGAAAATGAAACTGGGAGCTTTATCCTAAAACTGGCCCTTAGCAAGTACAAGACAAAACCCTTTGGGTTCTGTAGCAAAAGTGTATGTTCTGTGTAACCAGCGTGAACTGAGAGATACAGGACACTTTAAGAACGAATAGAAAAAATCTGAAGAGCGTAAAGTTTTTTGGCAGTTAATATTCAGGGCTATATCACCCAACTTGGTGCTTTCCTCCCAAAGGGCCCTATTTTCCACTTCATTTCATAATGATGTAGTTTATGGCAGGTTGGGAAAGGACAATTTAGTTTTCCTTGATCAACTAAGTCAGGGTAGGGGGAGCACAGATTGAAATGAGTTACATTTTTGCATCCTGTAGTATTCGAAAGTTGTCTTTTAAGATATTAGCAATCCCCACCCGTCTCCACCTGCAAAGTAGGAAATGCATCTGCCTTAATTTAATCGACCCTTCTCCACACGTGCCGGGTGAGATGACCTTGTAACATGTTCAGAGAAGTTAGTGTAAGAGATTTAAACAGGAATGTAGTTGTGACCAAAACCCTAAGGCCTGCAACACGTGGACATTAAATTAGTTCCTGGAAAAAGAAACAAGACTGTCCAGGCAAACAAGAAATGCTGCTGCCACTGCCTAAAAACCACTGGGCTGAGGCTGCCTGGCCATATCCCTGGTCTGATCTTACCCAGCCCTTTCTCAATCTGCTTTAGACATGTCAGTCTCAGCCCTAGTGTCAGGGACTCTGCGGGCTGCCCCAGTACCCTGCCTTTCCTGGTTGTCCACATCCGTCTTTTACGTTGCACTCATCTCCACTAAGATTATGTTAGAACACACGAAGAAACTCATTGGTTTATGTGGGGACTTCCCAGCATGGTCAGGCCTTGGGGTGAGAGAGATGGGACCTGTCTGACCTATAGGACCATCAGCAAGCTACTCAATCTGCTTAGGTCTCTTTTTTCTCTTCTGAAACATTAGCTTAGATGCCCTCCCAGGCGTCTTCCAACTCTGGGGCTACAACCCTATGAAATGACTTGCCCAAGATCACAGAGTAAAAGGCAGAATTTGAACTTCCTGCATTGAGGTTCAGCATTCTAGCTGTTGGTGGGAGGAGGGAGCTTCATCTAGTCTCTGGTGTGTCTACGTAAGGTTGGCTTGGTCAGGAATCTTGTTATGAGACAAGTTCCTAAAGACTCCTTTAGGAAAATGGAATCATGTGATCCAAGTGTAAGCCCATGCCATCCGATCTGGACACAGGGAGGTGATCCTAGGACCTTGTTCTGTGTAATTGAACTGTCTAAAAGCCAGTACTTACTCCCTTGGGTAAGATAACACACTGGAAGGGATAGGAGTGAATTTTCCAGGCCCTGAGTTTTCATAGTCTTGGGTTGAGATAGGTGATAATCCAATCGTGTCATAATATGACAGATTTTTAGTTTTCATTTATTTGCTCCCTTTCACAATATTAATATTTGTGTCTCTGTAGCTTTGCAAAAGCACTTAAACATTTTACATGTGTGTGCTCCTCTCATTTTAACTGAAGTATACTGATTAAACAAGAATTAGCAGGTATAGACAGAGCTGCTTCAGTTTTTACTTACTCTTTATTTATACTCACTTGAGAATGCTTTCCAGAGAACGTGGTCTTCCTTCTCCACAACCATCTCTTTTGTTGAGCTTTCTATTAGCCTTGGTGATGGAGACAAAGATATAATTTAAAAAACTGACAAGGAAGCATGCTGCATTGGGTCTATTACATTACAGAACAGTCTGATCCAAGTTCTTGGGCTTCCATTGCCCATCCTTAGGTAGAAGTCCTAATTGAGTGATTCTAAATTAGTGAGCAGTAAAGAGCCCCCCAGTTCTAAACAATCCAGGGGAAACACCGCTGTCCTTGGGTTTCAGCCTCCCTCGTCCCCTTCATTAAAAAGGCCCATCTCTAGGAATGGTAGGACCATAGGAAGCACTTCAGAGATCATCTGGTCTCCTTTTACAGAACAAACACCTTAGTGGTGCAGAAGGAATTCAGTGACCACAAACAAAAACCCAAGTAAATAAAATTCCATATTCCCGAGTAAGAACGGACTCGAGTCAATAAGGGTAAGGGAAGACAAGCAATTAATCCAATATCAAAACTGGAAAATCAGCAATGTTACCTCCAACATTTTATAATTTTACAAGATGGATTATAGTTTGTCTGAGGTTACATTTGATTCATTGTAAGAAGCTAAGGTATTCTGGGAAACAGCCAGGTTGACTACTACATGTGTTCCCGTCAGTTCTTAAAATCTCAAAATTTGTGACATGATGTTGAACAGAATAGCTGAGCTAGTGACCCAGTGGATAGACCACTGGGCCTGGAGGCAGGAAGACTTGTTCAAATCTGGCCTCAGCCCGTAGGAGTTGTGTGACTCTGGGCAAGTCACTTCATCCTCTTTGCCTCAGTCTCCTTATCCGTCAAATGAGCTGGAGAAGGAAATGGCAAATCACTCCAGTATCTCTGCCAAGAAAACCCCAAATGGGGTCATGAAGATTTGGACAGGAGTGAAAAAAATAACTCAATATCTTTAAAGTATTTAATAAATTTACTATCTTTTTAAGATGGTTGATGTTACCCATGGAGTACTGCTGCTTGTGAATGACCACTGTCAATATTTAATGGGGGAAATGGATATCTTTTGTTCAGTCATCGGCATATTCACAAAAACACATTTCCTTGGAAAACTAAAGTTGGTCTTTCTGAAGGAGGCAGCACACCTCCCTCAAAATAAGCAGAAAACCCGGGAGGCTACAAATCTTGATTTCCATCTTATAACCACTGTAGCATTTAAAAATAACCTGTCTCATTCCATGTTTTTTTACTGTCCTGAAGAAAGCTGTTTTAAAAGAATTTGTAGGCTTGCACAGTTGTCTTTGTGTTCATGCTGGGTGAGTAAACCATAAAAGGACTTGTGTCCATGGCAAAAAGCATGGTTTCTTCCTGCTGCTTGCTTAGGTGAAGGACTTTGTGTTAGTCATTTGAATTATCTTTGGATAAAATGGGTGCCTAGTGGAGCTGGCCTTCCTACTGAGCAGTTGGGGTGAACCTAATGCTTATAAACTATAGTACCTGGAAGTAAGTACAAAATATTCTTCACTGCTAGTGTGCTTGAGTTCAGCCATCTTGAATTTAAACAAAAAGAAAGCACATGTGACTCCTGTGAAATTTGTCCAATGTCATGGTCACTTAAGAATTTTGGCTTCTTCAACCGTATACACAACTCAAATTCAAACTACTCCCAGCCCCTGCCAACCCAATACTGAGGAAGCCTTGGCTTCGCTCTGGGGTAAAGGTTTACTTGACTGGCTAATTCCCTTTCCTAAATGGCTGCCATGAGTGTCAAGAAGTCTGTAATAACTTATTTATGGTAGACTCAAGTTTATTTATTGTTTTCCTCTTTGTATTTTTGTCGTACCAAAGTCTGTGATGTCTATCAAAGTTGATTGCACAAAATAAAAACCTCTTTGAGAAAAGTCATCCTAGAAGGAATATAAGGAATTTTTATTCTTTTGTAAACAGTAGTCACTTCTGTCTAAATCATTTGTAGTCATAGAACTTTTGTTCAAATCTAAGGTGCTCCCACCAACAGTGTAAGGTCACCTCCCCTCTTCAGGGCTCAATCTCTAAAAAATGAGGGGTTTGGACCAGACCTTCAGGTCTCAGTGTGATCATCTGGGAGCCACCCTTTATTTCCCCACATAAACCAGTGACAGATAGTCTGTTCTTGGCCAGTAAACAAGCCAAGGCTCAAACAGGGTTCAACACATAATCGCCCATCCATCCATCCATCTTCAGCAAGGGAAGCCCTTTCCAATTTTGGAAGATTGATGAGTGAGGCACTTCTAGCTTACACTGCCTTTTAGGGTCAAGCAATAAAAGAATCCTAATCCTTCCACAAGCCTATGATCATAACCCCCTCTATCTTTTCTTTTCTCTGTTCTAAGCACCCCCCAGTAACTCCAATACTGAGATAACTCTTTTGCCTTCTCCCCTGGCATGTGTCAGTCAAGAAATACTTCAGGGCTAATTGTGCCAGGTAGCCCTGAGGACATGAAAGCCAAGAAAGCAGTTCAAGGAGTTCACATTCTAATAGGGAAAAATAACTAAGTCTATCACAACATTACTACGGATGTTTTGCATAACCACATGTTATAACCTATATTGAATTGCTTGCCTTCTCAATGAGGAAGGATGGGAAAGGAGAGAATTTCGAACTCAAAAGTTTTAAAAAATGAATGTTAATTGTTTTTACATGTAACTAGGGGAAAATAAAATTCTAAATAAAAGCTAAAAAATATAACTAGGTATACAGACGATATATACAAGTGGATGAAGATTATCCAAAAGGGAAAGGCCTACTGCTGTGGGTGGTATTTGAGCTGTTCCCTACAGGAAGCCAGGGAAATTAAGAGGTGAGGTGGACAATAAATACTAGACATCAGGGACAGCCAGTACAAAGACATGACAGATGCAAGCAGGCCGGTGAAGCTGAACTGCAGAGTATATGAAGCCAAGTGAAGTGGGAGAAGACTGGAAAGACAGGAAAGGCCCAGGCTATAAAGGGCTTGAATGGCAAATAGGAGTTTATATTGGATCCTGGAGTCAAGGGAGCTCAGCACAGGAAAGGAGCAGCTTCAGTGGAGACCCAACTGACAGGGCATCTCTCTGCAAACAAGCTTTGTCAGTTCTGCCCAAGTTATCTTGGGGCCACAGCCCATTCTTGCCTATTCAAAGCCTCTTCCTGACTCTTTGAGCATCACCAATACTGAGGCTAACAAGGTGGCCTTTCCTTTCCAGAAGCTGGAGATCATTAAAAAACACTGCACAATTTCTCCCAGGTGATCCAGCCTGCTCATTCAGCACAACAGGGCAACATTATTAAATTAACAGTGAACACTCTCTCGCTTTAAATACGTAACACAAATATATGGGGAAAAAAATGACTTTCATTATCAAGAATAAAAAAATTCACGTGAGCAAAATTAACTACTAGTCCTGAAAATGGCACAGAAATAAAATACTTCTGGGAACACCTGTAATAATTTGCTGGAGTCAAAACCCAAATTATGGGACAAGAGTGACATAAGATGATGACATTAAGAAATTTCATCCAATTTTAATTTCAACCAAAATGTTGTAGAAGTTAAAAAAAATGGATACATTCACAGCAAAGCAACAGAACAGTCACTCAAATGAGGGACAGCAGAGAATTTCTTCAGTTATAAACAAATAATAGCTTATTAACAGGATGGAGAAAGGATGGGGAAAGCTGTTGTAGCCTTGTGGTAGTCTGCAGCGGACGGGGAACCTCTAACCAAATCACAATCTGTTCATCTTTCCAATCTGATATTGGGAAAAGAGCTACAGGAATACTTGAGAGTTGTGACTTTACTGGTTTTGGATAGCATTTTATACCAACAAATTGTTTTCCACAATAGGGAAAATCACACAAACGTCTTATTGATGCTGACCAAAACAGTAATCTTCTTTTTCCCATGAAAAATGACCAAGTGTTAAATCTCCATGCCTAAACATTTTTAAAAGAAACAGGTGGTAATTTTAGAAGAAATTAGTTTAGGGGGCAGCTAGGTGGCACAGTGGATACAGCTCTGGCCTTGGAGTCAGGAGGACCCAAGTTCAAAGTTGGCCTCAGACACTTGACACTTACTAGCTGTGTGACCCTGGGCAAGTCACTTAACCCCGATTGCCTCACAAAAAAGAAAAAAAAATTAGTTTAAATTTAAAACATTCTTTCCCTGCAGCCCCAGAAGGCAGCCTGGGTCTATTGCTAACATCTGCAGTTTTTCCAAAGGACCCTTAGAGGTCATTTAGCTCAAAGCCCTCATTTTAAGATAAGGAAACAGGCCCAGAGAGGGAAATGTCTCGGTCAAGGCCATTCCAGGACTCAGAAGGGATGGGAGTTGAGCTGGGGATCTGCAGCCTCATGAGAGGAGGGAAAGACAACTTTTAACTAGAAGGCTTGGAGAAGGCCTCGGTGTTGCCTGCAGTACCTGAGCTGTTCTTTAAGGAAGAGGAAGCAGTCGGAGGCATCGGAGTGTTACAGCAGAGGTCAGAACCAAAGCAGGGAGCAGCAGCTCTAAGTCAGCCCACTGGAATGTGGATTTTCCAAACAAATCTCATTAAAATTTAGGTTTAGTAAAAATTAATCTTTCATACAGCGATTACTATACAAACACTGCATGAAAGTAATGTCTGTTTAACAGTAGATCTGAAACAAGCCTATTACAGAAAAAACAATTTTGCTGTCTTTTTCAACACACAATTAAATTCTGATGCTTATCAGTAATATAATTTACATGAAACACTTTAAAACTATTAACAGCCTTGGTTAAAAAAAAAAAACACCCAAAGCATATTTCTAAGTGTCTAAGTGTACTGATTTAAGTTACCAACAATATGGGAAAAACAAAAAATTTACCTAAGATAAAGACTAATCTGGGGTAACCATGGGCGTAAGAAACGCATTTCTTTTGGTCGGGCCACAAAATATTTAAAAAACAAAAACAAAAAACCTGCAGCTGTTTCTCCCTACCTCACCCCCCTCCCATTCATCCCCCTCATCAGTTTCTGCTTTGATAATCAGCAGTATTTTTTTCACTATCTAAAACTCATTAATCTTTCAATTATCGAAACCTGAAACAGGTCAAAGATCCATGACCTCTCAGCCTGCACCCCTCCCCCTGCTTCCTGCACTTTGTCAGAGCCACCATAACTAATACATTCATCATTCTTTCACCAACCAAACGGAGGAAGTTCTGACTTCAGCTAGGCTACTCCTTCTGCAAAGAGACACTGAATCTTTCAACAGGCCTGTTTTCAAAGACTCTACAATTTGGTAGGAGCGGGCTCAAATTTATCCCAAATTGGCACAACCTTTAGACGTGGAGGTATGCTCTATTCTGAAGCCAGGCCAAGGCACCAGAGTAAAACTCTAAGGAAGGGCCACACAATT